TTATATCCGCAGCATTCGGCGGCAGCCTCGAGTGTCCCTCTCTTAAGGAGCTGGCACTCGGTTTCAACGTCAGCTGGCATCAGTGGGATTTGTTCAAACTGTCGTTGTTTGCAAATTGGGTTCTCGTGTCCACCGAAGATAATGTTTCCCATTTGAATTTACGGTTGCTTCTGCCACCAGATCTTGGTATGGTACTGCGTTTCTTACAATGCAGCATGCCAACAGCAACCTGTTGGAGGGTTGGTGGCTCTGCGCCTCTCTTAACTCGAACATCCATTGCTGAGCGTTTTAAGTCAGACGATACGATTATCAAATCGATCGTCCACTTCTGTGCACAAGTTTCCTGGTACTAGGTATACTGATGCTCTCTTCGATGGTCGAGGAAGGTGTTCATAATGAGCAGTCTGTTCTTCATAATACCACAAGAACTTCATGCCTTTATTGTTTAGGTCGCTAGGGCTGTTTTTTGGAATCAGGCCGTTCCAGTTTTCAGGGTCTACTTTGACATGCGCATTAAAATCTGCCATGGGTATGAGTTATTCCGTATCTGGCACTTCGTACAGGGCACATTGCACTTCCTCAAGGAAGTAATAATTTTTCCCTTTTAAATTGATCGCATAGGCCTCTAAGAACGTCAAAGCTTTGACCTGTTGTAGCTTCAGTCGGAGGATTACCACCGTTCCTCTGACAGGCTTCCAATCAGTGATTCTATCTGCGAGGTTGGGTTCAACGAGAATACCAATACCAGCCTTAGCGCGCGTCGTGATATCTGCTCCTGAGTAGAATAGCTTCCACCCGCAGAAGTTCAGGATTCCAGCGTCTTGGCGCTTCGTTCACGAGAGTCCAACAATATGGAGTTTGTATTTCATTGGCTGATCAACTAACTCTTGTTCTTTCCCTCTGACTGAGGATATATTCCAATTTCCGACTGTAAGCTCCCACTGGCTGTGTCCTTCTGTTGTTGCGTTTTCTGATTTATTCTAATAGCATCGCGCTGTCCTCCTCCTGCGTTCAGAACAGGTATCTACTCCGTTGCTGAATTTTCGTCGGCCTTCCATTGATCTGGACGAACCGTTGTGCTGCTGCGCCCCTGGCTGGCAGAGAGCGATGATCAGGTTCTGATCGCCGACGTTTCGCAGTCTGCCTCAATCTTCCAAAAACCTACGCGGCTCTTGGTAACCCGGACGACGACCGAGCCTTTATAATTTTCGATGGCGTCAGTACCAGGAGTGTCAGTTGACGAACTTTTAATTAGACTTCGCCCCGTCTCCAGTCCTCCTGCTTTCTCAACCGTGCGTGGGACCGGCAATGTCGGAGTTTAAATAATTAACGTTTATTTGCAAATACCTTTCGGCGTCGAACTGATTTTATCTTAGGAGTGGATATAAATTTTGATAGCGGTAAATTTCGCTGCATAGTCGACTGCCCGCACAATTAGCCGCTGTTACTTGAACTATTGTTTCATCAAACAGTTTTATAGCTCCCGGGTTGATTGCAGTATATTCTGAACTACTGTCCAAGTACCATTGTTCTTTGTTTTATGCCAAACTTTTTAACTTTTGGAAAACTTTATAAAAAAGCCTTTACTTAAAAATTGCACATTGTAACGTACTTCCCGTTCTACACATCTTTGGATATTTTTCGGTTGTAGCGTTTCACCGGTATGTCTTAGCGGGCGCAGAGACTAGAATGGTGCAAATTTTCGTGAATGTGGTCATAGCATTGTTCTTGCAGCTGCAGTGATAATCCGACCTGTACCAAAGCGATCTACGTTGAATACAGAAAAATAATCGTACTAACGGATTATTCATGCCTCCTAGT